AGCAGCGCCAGCACCAGCAGGCGGTGGGCCCTCAAGGTGCTCATAGTCTGCGCAGGTGTTGCTGTTTGACGGCATTTGGCTCCAGCCGGTTCCAGGAGCTGCATGTGGCAACAAGGGGCAGACCCAGGCTGGCCCACCTCTATTGGGTTGGGCTTATGTGCAGCTCCTGGGACTCGTGCATCACTGGGAGAAGACCTGCTTGATGGAGATGGCTGCCTTCCCCACTCCCTGCTGCCACATGCACCTCCCAGGACTCCTCCAGAAGTGGCAGGGAGCCCCACGCCCTGCTTCCTGGTAGAGTCCTGGGAGGTGCACGCGGCAGCAGGGAGCAGGGAAGGCAAGCCGGCTCCATTGCATGGGGCTTCCCCCTGGTGGTGCGGAAGTCCCAGGAGCTGCACATGAGCCCCACGCAATAAAAGGTCTGGCTCTACTCCTTGCCACGACATGCAGCTCCCAAAATGGGCTGGAGCCACACGCTGCCAGGCAGCTGTGCCTGCACGGGCCACAAGCACCTGAGGGCCTACCACCCGCTGCTGCCAGCAGCCGGGGCTGTGCACCATAGAGGGAGGTATGTGGGGGTGTCCCCACATACCCACACACTGACCACCTGAGCTCTGCACTCCCACTACCCTGTTAGGCATGGGTTCCAGGTTCCAAGCTCCTGCCATCCCCATGCTCAGTGCTCCCACCCAGCTGCAGCTTCTCGACCTGGTGCTCGGAGTGAGCATTGCAGCAGGGACACAAGAAAAAACCATTGGAGGCTAGGGAAACCAAGCAGGTCCCCTGGCAGCAGCAGCAGTGGCCCCACCCAGAAGCTCAGCATGCTGGCTAGGGCTGGGGTCCATCCATGCATGAGGGTGGGAGCAAAGTGCACAGGCTGGGTTGAGTACAATTAATTGGTGGGTGACCACAGGCTGGATGAAATCGCCTGACAGGCCAGATCAGTCCACAGGCCATATTTTGCCTGCTTCTGCTCTAGACAGAGCCATAAACTCTCATAAAGGTGGTATATGTGCAGACAATTCCTGTCCTACAGGCAGTTGTTGTAAAATAGCCAATATTGCCCCCATGTTTGGTTTGGAAAGACTCCCTTCGCACATGGCAAGATACATTTTAAGGTGCTGTGGTGTATATATGAGTCTGCCAAGCAGTTATACTGTTAGTTAGACATTGGGCACGTCTCCAGATGCTCTTTAATGCACAGTAGACTGTTTTACTGCACACTAAAGCATTGCGTAAAAACCATGACATTATGGTAATGCACAGTAAAATAGTCTACTGCACATTAAGCATCACTAAAAAAAGCATACAAAAATGCTACTACACAGTGCAGCCTAATGCACATTATTTTAGTACCTCATATTGGAGGTACTAAATTTAATGCACATTTGTGTACATACTTTAGTCCTTCGTGGGCAAAGACAACTGCATCCAGTGGGGGGAGGGGAGGGAAGAAGAGAGAAAAGTGCGAAAGAAAAAGGGAAGGAGAAAAGAGAAAAGGAGAAAGAAGGAAAAGGAGAAAAAACGGAAGAGAATGAAGGGGGGGTGGAGGCTAGGTCACATGAGTATGTAGGTGACTTACAAGACCAATCTTTGCTTTGAACAGTCTGCTGCAGCAGGGGCAGGAGAGTGATGAGGACTGGTGTTGTGGTTTGTCTTACAGTATCCTTGTCCACACTTGCCACTGTTCTGTGAACCATCAATATGCCTGACTTGCCCGCTTGCCCCGTCTTTGTTGTTTTTATTATTAATATTAATTTTAGATATTATTAGTCGGGAGGGTTATTCTCTGTTAGTTCGTTCTTATACCCTTTTTATATGACACACACACAATATGCATACATCATCCAATCTGCTCATCCAAATATACGCCCAACCTCAAAGTTAGATATCCAGCCACAGTCTGGTTAAGATCGTTCACTGTTCTTTATTTTTCCTTTTACAAATTCATACAAGTTTCACACACTGTCAGACAGAAGAAGTTAATTGCATCTTTTTCTAATGTCACTTATGGTATTAACTTTTTAACTCTTCTCACACACAATGTCTTTAACCTTTAATAGCCAACATGAATTAACTGAACTTAGTATTCATGAACAGACTGTACCTACGAATCTTCTCTCCTTTCTTTTATTTCATCAATTTCTTCCCATGTTAAGAGAGATCTTGTATCTTCAGATCCCTCTACATGAAATTCTTTTACCTTTAGTAGTACTGGGGTCCACAGTCAGCCTTATGTTTAGCTTATAGTTCTGAATCCTCTTGGAGAATCAACCAAAACAGTCTCTAACATAGAAAGAGAGTTTTAACAAAAATCCCCTTTTTTCATTTCCTTACAATTACAGATGTATGTCCCACGCCTCTCGGATTTTCTTTGGGGATCCGCCCCTCGCTCCATTCCCTCTGGGCACAACTGGGAGCACAATCAGTTTCTCTCCTTCAGGCACAACTGGGGCGTAATCAGTTCTTCTACAGATCCTCTGGGGAATCCTCCTTCATTCCCCCTTCTTCTCTTTTTTCTTCCTTCCCCGCTGTCGGACCTCACGTCCTGCCACTCCATTCCCCTCTCAGAGTTTCTGTCCTTATAAGGCAGTGGCTCCAGAAGCAGCGCTCTCCGTTTTCTCCCATCGCAGCCGTGCTCGCTCCTCCACAGCTGGATACAGGAGGTTTTTGTTTTCCTAGCCACGTGTTTCTTCATTGCTTCTGCTGTGTATTGCTGTTCAAAGGCCAGTGCTCCATTCCAGATTTGGAACCTCCAGGATGGACAGTCGTGAGCAATTTGCTCCCATGACTCTGGGTCAATGCTGAAACTCTTTAAGGACACCTTTAGGGCATCCTTGTACTGCTTCTTTGGTGTACCGCGAAAGTGTACTCCATTTGACAGTTCTCCATAGAAAACTTATTTGGCAGGTGAGTGTCAGGCATTCTTGAGAGGTGGCCGGCCCATCTTAGCTGTGCCAGTATCAGCAGGGTGTAAATATGGGGGAGAGTTGATCTTCCAATCATTTATCAAATCTGCACATTTGTAAAAGCTCATTAATGCATGTGTAGATGCGCCCACTGAGATGGAAAGTGGAGTGCTGAAGGATTTTACATTGTGTTCAGTGAGTGTACCTGCCTAGTCAAGATATAACTTCATCCAGTACTTCTGTTTCAGAATGAGAATCACCCAGACAAGCCTAAAACTAGGGAGAGAATGCATTAAAATGTTGCTGGACCACTAGTGAGATAAATCTGTCCTGCTGTTTCTTGGAGTCATGATTCATATTAAACAAAAATGCCTTGTTATCCAGGTAAAATAAGCAGTATGTTCCACTAGTGTCTGAAAGCAATAGTGTAGTCCACCTTCCCTGGACACTAACTCTGGTCCCACTTGAAAACTGCCCTCCCCTCCAGGTCCTCCAGCAGAGGGTTAAGTAGCCAGGTAACTCTCCCCAGCTCACTTCCTGACCCCTGTGAAGGAGCTGTTAATTCTTTAATTGGTGAGTCACTGTTTCCTCTGTGAGAATATAGCTTTCTATATTCCCACCTTGGGGTTCCCTTCTGTTTAACCCCTATGGCCTCAGTCCCTCTGTTTCTCTTTCTCCCTTGTTTAGTAACAGGGTGGGATAATGTTAGACAAGCTTTTGAATGCAAGACATTCTTCCTTGTCTAACTTTATCCCAAGTACATAGTCCAATAAAAGATATCACCCTAAGAAATCACTGCCTTTCACATAATTTCTTGACTATCACAGATACAAACAACATTACTCTTACACTGCCATGAATTCTTAAGAGGCCTTTAAACAGCCCAACCTTGATCTTGTTTCTTTGTTCTTACTGGTGGGCCAGATTGCTTCAAAGGAACCACATTTGGGATGACCTGCTTGCTAATGAGCAAGGATCCTGATTTTCTCTGTTTAAACAGTGCCATAGCAAGGAAGGCACTGAAGCAAAGGGGTGCCAGCAGGTACTGCCCAGCCGGAGCAGGGCACAGGACGGAACCGTGAACAGCTCATTTGGGG